GGGCTGAACTGGCCGCGCTGGCAGAGCCCTCCGCAGCTACCAAGAGCCCGGAAGCCAGCCCTGCAGTTCAGGGAAGCCCAAACGAAGCGCCGGCGCAGGACCCGCAGAACAACGCCTACGAAAACTTGCCGGGTCAAGACGCCACCTTGATGCTCCAGGATGGAGCGAAAGCTCAGGAAGAAGGCTCCTACAAGCGGAGGTATCCACGGAGAAGCGCTCGGGCCAGATCCAACATGTTCTTTGGGTTGACCCCCCTGTACGGCGTGAGGTCTTACGGAGAGGAGGACCTTCCCTTCTACAGTAACTCCACGGGGAAGAAGCGAGGGAAGCGCTCTGCAGAAGGACAAGTGGACGGCGCGGATGACTTGAGCACGTCGGATGAAGACGACTTGTACTACTACAACTTCACGCGGACGGTGGTTTCCTCCGGCGCGGAGGAGAGGCTCGCCTCCCATAGCTTGTTCAGGGAGGAGGAGCAGTGCGATCTCCCGAAGATCTCCCAGCTGGACGGCGTGGATGATGGAACCGAGAGCGACACGAGCGTCACAGCATCGACGAGGAAAGTCAGCCAGGTGACCAAGAGGAGCGGTAAAGAGAACGGCACGGAGAACCTGAAGCTGGACAGAACCGAAGAGGCCGGCGAGAAGGTCCAAGTGAGCAAGAGCTCGGGCGTCCACAAAAGCGACCCGAAGCTGGAGAACTGCCACCCGGCCAGCAGGGCCAAAGGCCAAGCTCCGGACTCGTTGGAAGCGCAGCTGAGCTCGCTGGAGACGGGCCGCAGGGCGCACGCCAGCACCCCTTCCGACAAGAACCTGCTGGACACCTTTAACACGGAGCTTCTGAAGTCTGACTCCGACAACAACAACAGCGACGACTGCGGGAACATCCTCCCTTCCGACATCATGGACTTCGTCCTGAAGAACACGCCGTCGATGCAGGCGCTGGGAGAGAGCCCGGAGTCGTCCTCTTCGGAGCTTCTGACGCTGGGGGAAGGTTTGGGTCTCGACAGCAACCGCGGCAAGGATATGGGCTTGTTCGAGGTGTTCTCCCAGCAGCTGCCGACGGCCGAGCCGGTGGACAGCAGCGTCTCCTCCTCCATCTCGGCAGAGGAACAGTTCGAGTTGCCGCTGGAGCTGCCGTCCGACCTCTCCGTTCTGACCACTCGCAGC